GAGAGGCCAATCGTGATGCATAAGACGTTCGTCGCCACCCTGGAGGGGATGGACGAGCTGAACGTGAGCTGGGTACGATGGCGCTGAGGGGCCGATCGTACCGCATAAGACGGTCGTCGCCATCCTGGAGAGAATGGGCGAGCCGAACCGTGAGGCCAGGTACGATGGCGCTGAGGGGCCGATCGCACTGCATAAGACGTTCGTCGCCATCCTGGAGGGAATGGAGCGATCCGAACGTGAAAGAGACACGATGGCGCTGAGAAGCCGATCGTGCTGCATAAGACGGTCGTCGCCATCCTGGAGGGAATGGGCGAGCCGAACCGTGAAGCCAGGTACGATGGCGCTGAGGGGCCGATCGTACCGCATAAGACGTTCGTCGCCATCCTGGAAGAGAATGGGCGAGCCGAACCGTGAAGCCAGGTACGATGGCGCTGAGGGGCCGATCGTACCGCATAAGACGTTCGTCGCCATCCTGGAAGAGATGCGCGATCCGAACGTGAAAGAGACACGATGGCGCTGAGAAGCCGATCGTGCTGCATAAGACGGTCGTCGCCATCCTGGAAGAGATGCGCGATCCGAACGTGAAAGAGACACGATGGCGCTGAGAAGCCGATCGTGCTGCATAAGACGGTCGTCGCCATCCTGGAGGGAATGGGCGAGCCGAACCGTGAAGCCAGGTACGATGGCGCTGAGGGGCCGATCGCACTGCAGAAGACGGTCGTCGCCATCCTGGAGGGAATGGGCAAGACGAACCGTGAGTCTGGACACGATGGCGCTGAGGGGCCGATCGTGATGCATAAGACGTTCGCCGCCACCCTGGAAGGGATGGACGAGCTGAACGTGAGCTGGGTACGATGGCGCTGAGGGGCCGATCGTACTGCATAAGACGGTCGTCGCCATCCTGGAAGGGAATGGGCGAGCCGAACCGTGAGTCTGGACACGATGGCGCTGAGGGGGCCGATCGTGATGCATAAGACGTTCGTCGCCACCCTAGAAGGGATGGACGAGCTGAACGTGAGCTGGGTACGATGGCGCTGAGGGGCTGATCGTACTGCATAAGACGGTCGTCGCCATCCTGGAGGGAATGGGCAAGACGAACCGTGAGTCTGGACACGATGGCGCTGAGGGGCCGATCGTGATACAGAAAAATAGTGATGATCATCTCATGGCCCTCGGCCTGTCGGTGAATGGTAATCGTCTCACGGCCCTCGGCCGTGCTGGTGATGTGTCAAGTCTCTCTCCTGATTGGCTGTGAGAAGCCGATCGTCTGCCAGGACTCCATCCGGGAAGGAATGGTGAGCCTGAAATAAATCTGGGCGATGTCCCTTCTACCTGATCTGGGGAGCTAATCGTCATTCGAGGCAAAAGAAAACCTGACGTTAGCCGATCGTCGTCGGCCACTTCATTCTTCGTACTTAAGTCTTGTAATTATTCTTTACATATGTTTTTCAGTTTGTACTTCACAGCCAATAGTGCCAAGGGATAAAATCATTCTTTGCTCCGTGCTCTTCTGGCATCTTTTTTTTTTTTTTTTTGGAGTCTTTTAGTCTTCGTTCGTCATTGGTCCTTGGTCCTACCGGCGTTCTTACATCGAAGAGACGTTCGGTATCCGCGGACATCGCAATGAGGAACAGGTATATCTACATCGAGATTCCCCCTTTTTCGTTCGTCCCTGGTCCTTTTAGTCTTACCGGCGTCTCTTGCATCGAAGAAGACGTTCGGTACCCAAGGAACTCGCAGGGACGAACTGGTTTACCCTCACGGGTTCCCGTCTTTGTTATCCCACGTCCATCGATCCATGGTCATTGTGGTATGAACAGGTTTATCTTGGCAAGGCTCCCTTGGTTCGTCTAGCCCCCTCCGCGTCTCTACTAACCTCTACATCGAGAGGCGTTCGTCTTCGGCGGTGGGAGAAGATCTGGCACACCCGGGCAAGATTCCCTTCCACATAGGAGCTACCCTCCTCTTCTCCCCATCTTTTTTTTTCTTCTTTTTTTTTTTTTTTTTTGTTTGAGGGAGGCAATCTATACTCTTCGTTCGTCATTGGTCCTTGGTCCTACCGGCGTTCCTACTTCGAGGAGACGTTCGGTATCCGCGGACATCTCAATGAGGAACAGGTTTATCTGCATCGAGATTCCCTGGTGCTTCGTTCGTCCCTGGTCCTTGGTCCTACCGGCGTCCTTACTTTGAGGAGACGTTCGGTATCCGCAGACATCGCAAGGAGGAACAGGTTTATCTGCATCGAGATTCCCTGGTGCTTCGTTCGTCCGTCCCTGGTCCGTGGTCCTACCGATCTTCCTACATCGAAGAAGACATTCGGTATCCAAGAAACTCGCAGGGATCACGGGATGTCACACATAATGGTGGTGGCATACCAAAACGAATAAAATGACGAGGCGACGGAATAGCTGGTCGTCATGCGAAGGCGATGGTCACCCTCCTGGAGGGGAGGGGTGAGCCCGATCGCTAACTCAAGAAGGTCGGCATTGGGAGCCGATATACAATGATCATAATATCGCTGAGCAGTCGGTCCTGATAATGGAGATGGCAATAGTGTCCGGTCAGGCCGATATATCCGAGCAACGGCTCTCATCCAACGCAGCGCGGGGATGAAACCGGTCTTCAAAAGATAAATATGTCGTGCCGAGAGGCCGAACATAACATGATAGTGTCGGCAGTGAGAGGCCGACCTGAAAGAATCAAACAACGGTCCTCGCCCGCGAGGTGGCGGGGACGAGGCCGGTCTTCAAGAGATAAGCACGCCGAGCCGAGAGGCCGGTCGTGGTATAATGGTGTCGGCAATGAGCGGCCGATCTGAGAAAATCAAGCAACGGCCCTCGTCCGCGAGGGCGGGGACGAGGCCAGTCTTCAAAAGATAAGCACGCCGAGCCGAGAGGCCGGTCGTGGTATAATGGTGTCGGCAATGAGCGGCCGATCTGAGAAAATCAAGCAACGGCCCTCGTCCGCGAGGGCGGGGACGAGACCGGTCTTCAAAAGATAAGCACGCCGAGCCGAGAGGCCGGTCGTGGTATAATGGTGTCGGCAATGAGCGGCCGATCTGAGAAAAACAGGCACGGTCCTCGTCCGCGAGGGCGGGGACGAGGCCGGTCTTCAAATATGATAATCACGCCATGCCGAGAGGCCGGTCGTGATATGACGATATCGGCAATGAGAGGCCGATCTGAGAAAACAAGCAACGGTCCTCATCCGCGCAGTGCGGGGACGAGGCCGGTCTTCAAATATGAACACGCCGAGCCGAGGGGCCGGTCGTGGTATGATAATGTTGGCAATGAGATGCCGATCAAGATATGGTCAAGCAACGGTCCTCGTCCGCGAGGTGGCGGGGACGAGGCCGGTCTTCGAATATGGTAATCACGCCGGTCCGAGAGGCCGGTTGTGATATAATGATGTCGGCGATGAGAGGCCGAACATGATGTGGCAGTGTCGGCAATGAGGGTCGACCTGCAATCCAGCAACGGCTCTCATCGGCGCAGTGCGAGGACGAGGCCGGTCTTCAAAAGATAGGCACGCCAAGCCGAGAGGCCGGTCGTGGTACGACGGTGTCGGCAATGAGAGGCCGACATGAAAGAACCAAGCAACGGTCCTCATCCGCGCAGCGCGGGGACGAGTCCGGTCTTCAAAAGATGAACACGCCGAGCCGAGGGGCCGGTCGTGGTATGATAATGTCGGCGATGAGAGGCCGACCTGAAAATCAGGATGGTCTCACGGCCCTCGGCCGTGATGGTCTCCTCTAGGCCCTCGGCCTCTGAATGAAGGATGATCGTCTCACGGTCCTCCGCCGTGGTAGTCCACTATAGTCCTCGGCCTCTAGGTGTTCTCTCCTAGGCCATCGGTCTCTGGGGTGGAGATGCTCGTCTCACGGTCCTCCGTCGTGGTAGTCCACTATAGACCCTCGGCCTCTAGGTGTTCTCTCCTAGGCCATCGGTCTCTGGGGTGGAGATGCTCGTCTCACGGTCCTCCGCCGTGATGGTCTCCTCTTTAGCTGGCCCTGAACGTCTTCAAGACTCGGGCCGAGCGTCTTTTAATCATTTCACTCGAGCGTGTCGAGTGATTTCAGCTGCGCAATAAGCATGGTAACGGCCACATGGCCCAACAATAAATATGCACACATAACCATCTGCATGGCTTCCTCTTTAACATCCACGAATACCGGCCTATGGGTCATCGTGACCCTCGGCCCGGCTCATCGTGCGGGACTAATGGATGTAGCAGCTCGCGGCGGGGCCAACTGGCAGCCCGCCGAACGTCACATAGAGATATTCATCGGTCCGTGAGTTTTCAAACTCAGACCCAAGTTGGTCGTACTGACCTCAGAAAAAGGAGGTTGGGTGCTTTGGTGCCTTCGGGCCCCACAGGCCACGTTTGGCAATAGTCATTTCGCTTAATGGCGTAAATGATACTGGGGTATGATCGTCGATCGGGCACGTAGTGCCGTGCGGACTATTGCGTAACCCTCAAATTAAAATGCGTCGTCGGGGCACCGCCCTTCTGGAGACGCTCGGATCACTTAATCAAGCTGATCAAGAGTGGGCCGACAGGCCCACAAGAAATTAAATATTTAATAAAATGTTGGCTGAACCAACCATCACTAGAGCTTCGCTCCACATTATTTAATTCGGGACATTTTTATCCCCAATAAATAATAGTGATAAAACAGGTAATAGCAATGATATTTTCCTATCAAAGGTCATTCAGATACGCTCCGCTCGGTAATTAAAGCCGATAGGGAGCGGGCCAACGGGCCCACAACAACCGGTCATTTAATTTAATGACGGTGAAGCTAATTATCACTAGAGCGTCGCTCGACATTATTTAATTTCGGGAAGTTTTAATCCCTAATAAATAATGGTGATAAAAGTACTAGCAATACTATATATATTTTTTTTTTTAAATAATCAGCTTTTCAATGTACCAAGTTATCAACTTGAAAGTAAGTATATGTACTTAGCTTTGGGAGATAAGCCTCGGCCAGTAGGAAGTGTAAAGTCAGGTTGCATCCTTTGTACCAATTTTGACTTGGTCCAGATGCTCCAATCCCTTCCCATCTGCCAGTATGCCACCATTATCCAGAGGACGTGGTCTGCTTTAGTCCAAAACATTTTATGCGGAGTATATCTTTTCGAAAGGGCAGGTGGAGCGCTATTCTACCAACCCAGGCGCAGGCCGTTCGTGTCGGCCACTTCCCACCGGTGGAGACGGCAGTCGCAGCAGAGCAAGGGCGGCCCGAAGGCTTATATCCGGCGGAAGCTCGACCGAACTACTGAACATACTTATTCTGAGCTCGAAAAACCCCCATTAATGGCGGAATCATGAAGCTCTCCACCGGTATATCCCACAGGTCGCGTCGGCCGAGTCGTGGAAGCTCGAACGGCGACCGACCAGGAGGGGGAGTAACCAGCGGTTGACCGGCGATGATGACGGCGGTGTGGTGATGCTCTGGCGGCGGAGTTGCTCCGGCGAACAGGAGCGAGGCGCGAACCTGCGACCGTCGCCCAGTCACGCTGTAGATGACGAGCAGCTAGGAGAGCCCGAAACTGGTTTCCTCAGGTCGCTGGTCCACCGGACCGATCCCCGTCCACAGTTGCCTTCCCCGACCAACAGAGCTTTGCACCGGAATTCCTCTTCTTCTCTGATCTAGAACTCCTCAGAATTCTTCTTTCCAGGATATCTTTTTCTCCTTTTTTGTTGAAATCAGTCCTTCTGGTATCAATTTTTGTGTAGAAACTCAAGAACACTAAAACACATGAATCTTTTTGGACAGATTCCCACAGACGGCGCCAGTGTTGAGTATAATCCAACACGATATAATAAATATATGTATAAATGTGTAAGAACAACTCAGTTTTTACGTGGAAACCCGAAAGGGAGAAAACCACGGGACTTTTTAGGCTAATGTCCAAGCCCTCTCTTTCTCATTAGGACTCTCCTCACAATTACATTGTACAAGCTCCCATTAATGGAGTATTTGAGCTAAGTTTAAGAGAAGGAGGAAGATGAATCTAAAAGAGGATCCCTAAAACATGGAGGGAAGCCTCCTATAAATAGGGGAAGGGGAGAAGGGGCTCTCCACCCTAATGGGCCAAACGGGCCAGAGTGGGCCCAAATGGCTAAAGTGGGCCGGATGGGCCGAAATGGGCCTAGTTGCTCGGGCCCTGTACTACGTAAAGCCTTGGACTCATGAACAGTAATAGGCCGGGATAATATATCCCAACAGTAATCAACACAATTCTAAGATTATACTTGACTCCAAATTTTATTTTCCAACATAGTTCTAGCAACTCCTAGTCTCCTACTATATTGTTCTATAGTAAATCAGTAGTTCATAACCTCTAAAAATTGAAGTATTTAAATATATAAGGAATGATATGAACTTGGTTTGGGAGTTGAAGTTGCCGGATTTTCGAACGGTTGATGTCCTGGGCTCCTGGCATTTAGCTAAAGGGCTAAAGTGGAGTAAAGTCTAATTGATTTGGAAAATTTTCAAATTTTAAATTTTGGAAACCTTTTGAAAAGTTTTAGAAACAATAGAAAGTAGAAATCTATTCGTGTTCCACTTTGAAAAAAGCCACCAATGACCCTGCACTTCACTAAGTTAGCACTTAATATTTATTGTTTAGTAATTGATAAATAAACTTATTTAATAGCATGTTTTTTGTAAAATGCGGTTGAGTGCCGTATTTTTTTGTTTAAACAGCAGAGTCTACTTTTTCGTTTATAGCGATTTTTTTTTGCTAAAAGAAAGGATACACATATAAAACGTGTATAATACGCGAATAAGCTAACTATGATTGTAACGACATCTCTTTTATATGCACCTATAGATTCACCAAGAAGTATATATAACTCTATCATGAATTAAAGATATCAATATGCACAAAATATAATGAATATTCCACCAAGTATGTATATAAAACAGGCCCAAGCGGATAAACATACGAAGAGGGAGGGGAATTGGGCTGCACATTTCCTTTCTCAGGCCCAATTGGATTACATTATAAATATAACAAGCCTCATCAGCTCCCAATTTTAGCTAGGCGGGCCTACTGGATGGACTTTTTTGGCATTCCTTCTCTTCGATTATTGTTTGATTGTTTTGACGAGAGGTTTGGTTTGGCCCCCTCTTAGTGTATGTTTTTTATATTCCTAATAAAATCTGGTAAATGTTCCCCGACATTTACCCCACTGATTTTGGTGGTTCGCCTACCGGGTTAAGAAAAAATTAATTGAATGAGACGAAACGAGGGCACTTGAGCGCATGAGCGAGTGCCAAACCCGATTTTAAGAAGTACTAGACAAGATGCATGTTCTCTTTGATCCACTTTGGTGTGCCTGCATACATGTGCATTTTTTTCCTTACCAGTTAAGAACTCGTATGTTGCATGGTTGAATAATGTTTGTCCATAAAATATTTTGTTTGTTGAGCAAAGTGTGTATACTATTTATAAAAACTTGTATGTTGCTTGATTGAATAATGTTTGCTCATAAAATATTTTGAATGGTGAGCAAAATTGAATGCATAATATAATCTTGCATAATATAAATGTAAGACATACACTAATTAACACTACACCCCCATTTAAATGGCTAGGACATGAAGTTTCTACCATTAATTTAAGGGTGATAAATCCTTATTTAAGAGGCTCTGTCCGGCCGTCGCCATTTGGGGTGGTTCCCGGTGAAATTTTTTGATGATTTTTTTTGACCATCTTATTCATCAAGTCTAGTTTACTTATACCAAATTTCAGCTAAAACTTCAATCGGGAAGGCATTCAAATGAATTCTTGAAGATAACTGTGCAGTTAAAAGTGCAGTTATTTTCAAGAATTCATTTGGATGCCTTCCCGATTGAAGTTTTAGCTGAAATTTGGTATGAGTAAACTAGACTTGATAAATAAGATGATAAAAAAATTTCATCAAAAAATTCCACCGGGAACCACCCCAAATGACGACAGCCGGAAAGAACCTCCTAAATAAAAGCCTATTTGACCTTTTTTGGTTAGTACATGGGCCTATTTGCACCTTTTCACTATTTATTATCATGTTTTTAATATGTGTTTTACATGTTTTACTTATCACTAATATTTTAATGATTGATATGATGTGTCAAAATTTGCCAAATTACATACATAGTATATTAGAAATCGATTTTTAACATGTTTGTATTCTACATACAAAAAAATTTGGGTTGACTTTATAAGAACTTATTACTGCATGTTTGCTAACATATATTAGAATATTTTTTAAGTATTATTATCAGACGAAAGTGTGAGATTTCCAAAATTTGACAACATTTGCTTAAAAAGTTCAAATTGACTATATAATAACACACTACTCATATACTTAGACATAATACTTGCATGTTATTATTATTTTACATTTTGTTCTAAGAATCACTATACTTCGAACTTAGGTTTTATTATATTATCTACCAACTGCTCAATCGGTCCGTGCATACACAAATAAAGATAAATTTAGTTCTGTTTAAAAACATTTGTCTTATGAATGTGTGACTATGTAATACATACATGCATACATATTGTACAAAATTGGAAACAATATACTCGAACAATATGGGGGGGTACCATATGTACAATATTGTACATGGTAAAAAAATTATTATGCCCAATGAAGATTATAGCAATTGTGATGAATACTCTATATATTGTGATGAATACTCTATATATTGTTTTGCAATACTATAAAAGCTACTATGAATACATATATAGCACTTCATCCCATGTTTTTTGAAAATCAAATAACAAATTTAGTCATATCAAATGAGAAGAGAAATACTTCGCCCCATGTTACTTGTTCTAGTTTCCTTTTTAGGTTATCCCCAAAAAGTGTCATATTTCATTTTTTTAAAAAACATGTAGTCTACATCAATTCACTTTATTATATGCAAATCTAAACCACAATTTTTACCTTTTCAATCACTTTATTGATAATTGTGCCAAACCAAAACAGCTCACATAAATGGGAGGGAGATGGTAATAAATTGTGTCTAAGGCGTGAGTTTATTGTACTTTATAAATTTTTATTGTGTCTCATAACATCTCATCTCAAATTAATTCAAATTTATTATAAGCATTGTGAATACAAAGATAAAAATAAGTATGCAGAGGTTCCGGAGTTAACTATTTCTACAATAAGGATGTTCTTACTTGGACCGTAATTTATTGGCCAGACCTGTTTAAGGTTGCGTTTGGGAAACGGCTTATCAGCTAACTTTTGGCTGTTTTGACCAACATCAACTTGTTTGACTATCCAATCAGGCAATATTATCGTTTGGTAATTGGACGCTTCTCTTGGCTGTTTGGGTTGAAAAAGCCGAAAAGAGAAAAGCTACGAAGGGCGGCGTTTAGATTTGGCTGGTCCCCTAAAACTCTTTTATACCCCTTGATTTTCGTAGTTCATTTATGTGCAGCAATTTATCAAAGCCAAAGGTCATTTCCTCTTTTTATTAATGAATGTTCATCGCCTCTATTTCGCAGCTCTTCGTCCTTGGCACCACTTCAACAAATTTCCCGGATCTCTGCTTCTATTAGTTGCTCCCTCAAGTGTAATAAAAAAAAACTACAAAACCGGAAAACAATGAAGAAGAATCTGCCATAGGAAGGAAATGGGTTTATAGGGAACAGGGGTTGAAGTCCCGTTTCTTATGAGTTGCCATCTGAAAGTAAAAAAGGAAGAAACACCAAAAAAAAAATACAAAGGAGGCTAAAGAGGGAGAATCGGGAGAAATTTAAAAGCATAGAACAGTAGAACAAAGACAAGCCTGGGAGGAATAGAGAGAAAAGAAAAGGGAGAAAGGAAAATAACAAATATTCCGTAAGAGATAAAAGAAGAGAAAACTAAAACCCAACTTGTTGATTATTAAAATAGCAACACAAATAATAAATGTCATGTCCTTAGATGTCTTTTTGCATCAATCAGCTATTTACAAACATCTAATTTTACCAAACGTTGATTCATAATAAGCTTACCTGATCAGCTAATCAAAACATCTAATACAAACAGCTATTGACAACCAGCTGACACAACCTGCTAACATCTACCAGCTAACGGCTATTTGCCAAACAAGGCCTAAGTCTGGTTTGGTTTGGTTTGGTCTATTTAAGTCTGATTTGGTCTGGTCTGATCTGGTCTCGTATGCGTCTGATTTATGTGTATTTTATAACTACGGAAGTCAAGTCAGACATGGTCTGTTTAAATCTGGTCTGAGACTGAAAACTGTCCAAATAAAAACATCCCAATGAAACAAATATTATTTTTTACTTTGCTATCAAACAATTACAACTTTCTTCCGAATTTAATAGGGACAATTCTCGGTCGCGCATCGTGTGGGTGAAATCTAGTCAAAATTAACATCACATTTTGCCTCAAAATGAAAATGGTGATGATATTACTTAAGAAGACCTCAAATGTATTTTTTATTCCTAGAGCAACTATGTATGTATTTGGGGTTGCAATATATTATTATAGAAATAATCTTTACAATTACCATATTGAATTTCGCACAAAAATATTATCCAAAAATGGATATTGCTAATATTTTCATTTTTATAAATAATCACTTTAAAAAATACATAGTATATTGTTCTAAAGACTGTTATTAGCAAACAATTAATGCCCAAATAAGTTAACCTATTTTGCAATTTTTAGTTATTTCTTGTTTTAGAATGGAAAGTGCAATCTATACATTTGTTTGAATGTAGTAACAATTAAACTCATTTTTATGTACTAATGGATTGGTGTGGTAGAATTAAATGAATGAAACTTTTACATTTTTTGTAGCTGATAAATAACAATTGTATATTACTAGTACTACCTCGTCCCTAAATGTTGTTCCAATTGCGGATTACGAAGGTTGACCGACGATAAAGTTAAATAATCCCTGTGAAAACTCGGATTATTTTTAGTAAATAAAATTTACATATTCAGAAACTACATTAAACCCGCTACAAAGCCTGCAAAAAATAATTCAACTTTTATAAAATTTTGATATAAAAAGTAAGAGTTTAAGAGTGATTTAAGTTGACCCTCGATAAGCGAAATGGAACTTCTTTTAGGGACGGAGGGAGTACTAACTATCGTTACTTTGGATGTTTTTACTTAGACTTGTAATTTGCTGGTCTGGTCTGTTTAAGCTTGGTCTGGTTTGGTCTGATCTGTATAAGTCTAGTCTGAACTGGTTTGGTTTGGTCAAGTAAATATCTGGTCTCTGTGTATTTTATAACTACGGAAGTTAAGTTTGGCTTGATCTGGTCTGTTTAAGTCAGATTCAGTACGCTTTAAATAAGAACATTTTACTTTTCTAACTTTATTTTAGTATGTTTCTAATTAGTTCTAGATTGTTTGATAGGTATAAGTCCTTACCTTCTAAGGATCTGTTTGCAACAGTTTCTGCTTTTAAAAAAGTGCTTTTATTAATGAAATGGGAGAAGTGATTAAATAAAAGTTGATAGCGTTTGTGAAAAAAGTGATTTTGAAAAGTAAAAGTGGGTAGTGTTTGGTAAAATAAATGTTTTTTGTGTAATAAAAAAATTAAAAACACTTTTGACGCGGAAGCCGAGAAAAATAAAAGTTGTAGTGTTTGAGAAAATAAGTGCTTTTTTAAAGCCAAAAGTTGAGAAGTGCTTTTTTTTTAAAATTAAAGTAGTTGCAAACCAACCCTAACTTTTATATTACTATGTATTAAAAAAGGTTTCTAAAAGTTTATAGTTATATGTTTTGCCAAATTAGTTCTAGCATTTTACCCAACGAATTGCAAGATACTTGTGAAAATTTTTGGTTTTTTAAAAAAATTAAATTGAGTGGTTTTTGAGAGAAACTGAATTCAATCGTATGATTTTATCAAAAAACTATAACTTATATAAAATCATTCGGGTTACTAAAAGCTACATAGTAATAGTGACAAAACTTCCAAAAAAAAGTAATAGTGACAAAAAATACAGAAAATACTTTTTAGCTAGATGTGTCAATCATATTATTTTTTACAAAGTTAAATGAATTTATATATGAATAATATGGTCAATAAATTAATTTGATATTAACAAAGTAAATCAACATTTAAGTATATTAGATTGCTTTTAACTAGCTTTCAAGCCCGTGCGATGCACGAGCATATGTAATCTAGCTAATTTGAAATTTGATTTCTTTCAGATCATATGTAATGTGATATAAAAGAAAAATAAACTTAGTCTAATATAGAGTCCGTTTGATAATACTAAAATAAATTGAATTAACTTATTTTACTCAAATTGATTAAATTATGAGTGAATGAGCTAAATGAGTGGAATCATGAAAAAATATGTAAAATATATTCCATTTGTGAAGCCATAAAAAGATTATATGAAAAATAGTTAAATTGTCTTCTACAAAAGCATCTCGAGTAAATATAATTTCTATGAACCCGATTTTAAACGTTTAATATAATCTTATGAAGATGGATATTCATAGAAATTTAATACGGAGTATATATTAAGTAGAATAGTCTAAATATAGAGCTTGTTTTTTTAAATTGTAAGCCTAAACGTATAAACGTATACTATAACATTTAATTGTTATAATGGAATTAAAACGTATAATTCTAACACATAATTCTAAGCCTAAACGTATACTATAACATTTAATTGTTATAGAAATTAAAACGTATTATATTTTTGGCTAAGAATACCTGTCATATATAAACTTAGCCTAAAATAGAGCCTGTTTAATATAGTACTTTCTACGGATTTTTGTTTCCATATCAATATGCAATCAAAAATAGAATCTAGCTAATAAAAATAGAAGGTACAAATTAACTAAATAATTAATATATATAATGACATGACAGGATTATGTGACGCTTTGTATGCACTTAAAAAGTTTCTCATATATATATATATATATATTGATTGGATTGATTTTTTTGTGTGATTTAATATGTTATTGTCTAAATGAGTAAGAGAGATGTTTGATATATGTGTATTTTACAATTGGGAAAACTATCAAATAAGCCCCTGTACTATGCCGAAAAAGTCGATTAGACCTTCGTACTTTACAAACACTCAATTAAGTCCTCGAACTATTAAAAAACGTTCAATTAAGCCCTTTCGGTCAGTAAGTAACCAGTTTCCCGGTTAAATGTAACCCGTTTCCCGACAGCCGCCGTTGCTGGGATTCGAGCACATCGTCGCCGTCGTCGCCGTTTAACTGGGAAACCAGTTACTTACTAACCAAAAGAGCTTAATTGAACGTTTTGTAATAGTTCGAGGACTTAATTGAGTGTTGTAAAGTACGAGGGTCTAATCGACTTTTTCGGCATAGTACGAGGGTTTATTTGATAGTTTTCCCTTTACAATTTTATAATTATTGAAGCCTAGTCTAGTCTAATTTGTTTAAATTTAGGGGGGTGTATTCATTTTAGACATTTTAAGACATTTTTAGATTATAGGATTTGAGTAGACATTTGAGACTTTTACGATTTTGGCTGGATTTTGTGGATTTAGACATAGGACATTTTGAGACATTACAAAACCTTTTCCAGTCGCCCCAAAATTCAAAAAGCACCAAAATTCATCTTCTTCAATTTGCTTGGAGTTCAGCAAGACCACGAGGCAAACGGCCAGTCTTCTTCAAAGACAAATTCTCATCTTCTTCTGCACCAACTACCAGCCCCGCAACCCTCCCACCCACCACCAGCAAGACGACACGCCAACGATCAAAATCACTCGTGCTTCTGCGTCACCTACCAGTCCCGCAACCGTGCAAACCACCACCAGGTATTGTGCGCCGTCTAGTGTGACTGGCCGACTCGCCATCCTTCGGCCGCACCTGCCACATCTTTTTGTGGGATTCCAAATCTCACCCAAATCTCACGTAAGGGGATGAGATTTGGGATATGGATTTTTTGCCTATATTTGAGCTTAGATGTCCGGATAAGTCCCAAGCATAAATGAAATCCATGTTTTCAATCTCAAATGAATACACCTAAACATTTTGGGATTTCTAAAATGTCTTAGAATGTCTTGTTTAAATACACCCAGATTTCTTAAATCCTAAAATGTCTTAGAATGTCTAAAATGAATACACCCACTTAATTTGTTTAAGTTTGATTTAATCAAATTTTGTTCATTTAATTGAAATTATTTCAAGTAAAACTTATAAGAGAAAGCACCCAGAAACATAATCAAATTACTAAGTTTGAATATTAATGAGTATGCCATATCTCATTGGTTAAATAGGGTTAAATTTTCCTTTCAAAATAGGGTTAAATTTGATTGCAATTTAAGAAGAAGCTGAGCCTATCAAATCGCAGCTTCTCGTGTTTTACTTCTGATGTACTTCTTCTATGGGCAATCATTCTTCTAGACTCACAATTTCGCAATGAGGTTATTGCTTCATTGATCACAGTCAGACATTCAACCTCAGCCTGAAGAATACCGAGCAAAAGACCACTCTTGTTAAAAGTTCATTCTTTCTCATTATCATCTTCTTCCATTCACCAACTCTCTGCCTCCTCAATGATTCACCGTTTTGCTTAACCGGTACAGCCGACGTTTCCCATGGCGCTCCCGCTGGGCAAGGTGGCTTTCCTCTTCGGTACCGGTCAGTACACATCCTTGCCCCGGCCAATGCATGCTTATAGGCATATCCCGCTCAATTTGCATCCTATGTGACCATGTGCGTGCATGTGTTTCGGTGTTAAAAATGTTTGAGATGATCTTCTTTTTATTCTCCAGTGAATTTCTGGCTTTGATATCAGTACCAATTAAATCACGGGCTTGGGTCGTTGGTTTTTCTTCCCACGTGCACTTAGCATCTGTAGTGTGCCAAAAATGGCAACCATTTGCCCTTTTCTATGCTGTATTTTACCAGTGGTTCTAGTTTTAAATTACTACGAAGTACTATACATGAATGTTAACTAATTTAAGCCAGTAAGCGGCTTAAAGCTGGATTTTTTATAGAGATTTTGATTGAATGGTCGATATGTATCTCTTGACACAGTCCTTGCCATATGGCTTTCTCTATATACCACAATTTACCAACATTTGCCTAAGAAGGCCAATTTGTGAGGCATATCACTTTCCTCCAAAAGTTGTCATGTTGTGCAAAAAAACATCTGTTGAAACAACAGAGCATATTGGCTGCATTTTCTAAAGTGATACTCCCTCCCTCCCCAAATGATTGTCTTGTTTGATTTAGCACAAGTTTTAAGAAAGTGTTTGAAAAGGTAAAAGTCATGATTGAGATTTGAGTAGAAAAAGGTGAATTGATATGAGACACATATTATTGCCAAAAGAGGAAACAATACAATTATTTTGGGACATCCCAAAAAGGAAAACAAGACAATTATTTGGGGACAGAGGCAGTACTTTTAGCCCAATAGTGTTACATACGAGCCTAAAAGGGACAAGTCTCACAGGAGTGAGCTGTCAGCTGTGTGACACCTTTTCTAAAGAGCAAGCTCTATGAGAATGTTTCAAGCAAGTGCTTCTATCTATAATCTACGTATTATGTGCAATTACTAATGAACTAGCTTTATATATTGAAAATAACTAAAAATACAGAATAAAATAATGTTCAGATCACAATTTGCATGCTCATGCATGAACCTTCTTAAGTCTGTTTTAAATATTTAGTTTTTCTTGATGGGAGGGGTTTACTTGTAGAAAGAATTGACTGTTACTAGAATATATATTTTATGAGAAATGCATCAATATTTACCATTACCACGCCAAAGCCCGGATCAATTGACATTCTGCATTTTAAAGGTGTTGTTGTGTCAGCTCTGGCCAAAGAATCAAGTTTCAGTGACTATTTGTCAGGCGCATTTAAGGTATGGTTTAGTAATTCAGCTTTAAATCTTTAAGGCTATTTTAATGGCCTCTTTTCTGTTTATATATTTACCATGACCATTAAATTTGGCGTAGCAGCTCACTACTTCATTCTTTTGTTGCAGATATTCTTCAAGCAAATCAAGGAAGATAGTTCAAAAAACTCAAATCATAAGCCTCGTAATGATGCTTTGTTGCTGCAGGTTTGCAATATGTTTTTGTGTTGTCTTTTAGATTATTTCCTTAGTTTGTTATTGCATGTTTCACTAGCATCTTTGAAACTAAAGTTTTATATTCTTTGTTGGATTATGTAGAGCATGATCTCATAAGTTGCACCATTTTGTCTTGAAGTATTAGATGTAAAGCTATGTGATGTGCTGCTTTATTTTGCATTATATCATCACAAACTCACATCAAAACACAGAAAGGGCAATTTGCAATTTTCATCTCTTCGCCGTGGAGCTGTGGTGCACATGTCGAACCGGGTCCTAATGTTCTTTAACAAGGAATTTATCCTCATCACTGCTCAACATATTTTGGGTCCACTGGATTATTGAAAAGGGGAAAAAACTGGCCAATATATCCGTTTAAAGACTAGGTTCTGTAATTTTACTATGCTACCAATTGTCGAGAAGTTTTTGAGGCGCACATATCCACTTCCACTTTTCTTTGTGACAGAGAAGCATTTATCTTAACTAAGAGAGGCTTACTAATATTCTTCAAATATTGGTATGTTTTTTTCCCAGCAAAACAAGACTGACTCCTGATTAAAGATTTCTGCATCTTTTGGGTATACTGAAAGTAAAATGGCTAAATTTTATTTTTCCGAAGCTCGTTTTAACTTATTAAACATGTTGTGGCACCATTTCATTAATACCGCACAAATTCTAGGACACCATTTGCTTCACGTTATGATATAGAGCAGGAGCCTGGCATGGAAAAAGAGAGGCCGAGGTCCCTAGTTGGGCCTGTTATTAGTAGAGTATTTCAATACCTAATTAGGGTTTACTTAATTTGGGTTCAATTAGGATTTCTGTTTTGGGTCTGTTATTAGAAGGGTATTTAAACCCCTAATTAGGGTTCAGTCTTGTTTATCAGTTAATAAAATTGGATCTCAGCCAATTGCCTCTGGGCAACGGTTTCTACCGTTGATTATTACTTTTCTGTTCTCATCATATTCATGTTAGGGATTGATTATGCCATTACGGTAGGGATAAAATGTAATTATCTCGGACAAATATCATCTGTCTTGATTTGTTGTTATGAACTTTTGTCAATGGCTGAAGCTCATGGTGACAAGTGGATGATTCATATAGTAAAGCTGTAAAGCAAGAATGATTAAAAAGAGAAGTTGACTTATGATTTATCATTTCATGTGTATGACTATTTTGTATGAGAATAAGCTATGTATTGAAGCAACTTTACTGACTGGTTAATCTTTTGAACTTCCAACGTTCTGCTAGGAACATTTACCAATATTTTCTTTAAGCTTGTGAAGGTTATTTCTAGTATTTGAATTTATATTTACCTTTTCAGGTCAATAGCTTGCAAGAGCAGCTGCAGCTCCTGGCATCAAATAGATCTGTAACTGTGGTGACTTCTTATGGTTCAGGTATGTCCAAGTTATCTACGTAACAAAGCAATTGGGTCTCATGCACCTGTTTTGCATTTCTGAGTTTTGACCTGACCTAAAAATTTAGTTTTGGCGTGTCTATTTTTTACTTTGCTGATTACCTTCCTTCAACTCTCAAAGAATCTACCGAGTCTTGACTCTTGAAGGTTGGTTGCACTCATACTTCCTCTGTTCCCGAATTCGTTGATTTTTAAAAAGTCTCCAGAGCTCTAGAAAAGTGAACCTTCACATGATTCTAATTTCTAATGCACATGCATTAATTAATTTTTTAATCCTGAAGATTACACCTGGAAAAGCTAATCAATAATCTGGTTTTTGATAAACTATAAATATTTTGGAACAAACATTTTTCTCTCAAGCATTATTACTGTGGAGTTAGCGGTGCTCACAATCAACTTGTGCAAGAAAAATAGCCTTAATTTTTTTTGTGGTCCCGCTGCTGTGTATTTATAATGGCATCACTTTCACTTTGTGCTCAGGGACAAGCTTCCACACCCAATAATAGAATTACAGGAGCATTCCTTTTGTGTTTGGAGATCTTACACCTAAATTGTTTTACTTGACACTTTGATTTTTTTAGGTTCTAGTGGTAAATATGGCTTGATTTTGGTGGTTGTGGTGGTTGGATACGGATATATTTGGTGGAAGGTAATCTCTTCTAGATTATTATTTACTCCATATATTTTTTCCTTGTGACTACACTTTATTAGCGGTAATATACATTGTTATCAATTTAACTTTTCAAATGATAATTCATTTTTCTTTGATGATTAATGAGCCATATGTATATCACATGTGGCATGCCACTTAAGGATATACATTTGATTTGTTCCCTCTTCATATTTACCATGAATGGAGTTGTTAAGGTCATAATTCACTGACCTTCGTTTTTCATTGGTGGGAAGTTATCATGCCTTCATTTGCTTGTTCCCTTATGTTTATTCTAAAATCAGCCAATCACAATATGTGAGTATTATATATACTACTTACGTATGGATAGGGTTTCCAGATGCTTGCTATTTTAATAGTAGTGCATAGTTTGGGTTAGTTCTTAAGCTTTACTTCTAAGTTCTAACAAGACTAACAAGACTATTTTATCCATACTTACGTATGGATAGGGTTTCCAGATGCTTGCTATTTTAATAGTAGTACATAGTTTAGGTTAGTTCTTAAGCTTTACAAACTAACAAGACTAATCACTTTCAATAATTCCTTGCGTAAAAAACCGAATATCCAATTGCGCTAATTGATTAGTTGGAGAAATGGAGTTAAAACTCTGTTTAGACTTTAGATGATATTTTAGGATTCTTCATAGCTTCATTTGGGTTTTGATTTTGTCAAGTATATGTATTAGTAATATCCTGAAATATTCAGCATACATGTGGATATTTTCTCAAAGTTGGTATAACCATGTTTCTTGTAGAATTGAACTGACAAGAGTATGAGTCCTATCGAAGTTGTTTTTTGGATAGATCCGCAAATGTCCAATTATCCATGACTGACAAGTGTAACAAAATTTTAAAATTGATTTTTATTCTTTTTGTACATGAATGCCATCCCCTTACCGCACCTTAGGTGGGAGCCTTTGCGGCACCGGGCCACTGGGTTAATGTTGTTGTTGTTGTACATGAATGCCATGGCATACCTTCAATCAAAACTCAAAGCTATTCAAATATCATGAGTTGGTTTCTTTGGAAAAGATGATATTCCCTTTTGCTTTGGAATTTGAAACCTCAAGGACCTCATCTCGGTATAAATGATTTATTACTACAGTCTACAAGGACCTCATTTTGGTAAAAGTAACCTCATTTTTAATTACTTCTAGGACCTCATTAAGTCATTAGTTGCTTTTGCTTTTTGCATTTACAACAAACAAATTTAAATGATTATGCAGTAGTTAGTTTATTACTCCCTCAGTATTCTATTGTTTGCTGCAATAGAGTTTGGCACAATATTTATGGGAAAAGTAGTATGGGTAATGAATAGTAGTGTAGAAAAGTAGGAGAGAGGGTGAAAAAGTATGAAAAAGAAAATGAAAAGTAGAAAAAGTAAGGGTAATTGAGTATTTTAAAGGGAAAACATACCAAAAAGGGAAAATGTAGCAAAAATTAAAATACATCCCAAAAAGGAAAGTGTAGCAAACAAAAGAATACGGAGGAAGTATGTATCAATGTAGACCTAGTTGTTTAATCATATTAACAACCTAGACTACCTAGTTAAAAACTTAAAATGGTATAGTGTATTTTTCCGTTTTGTGGATTATATTTTTCATATTAACATTCAAGTTTTTGATAAAAACCTGTCACTTATACAGTATCGATAAGTTGATATTGCTATATCATTTGATATTTCCATGAAATGAAGGTACTCATGATACTGATAGGTTTAACATTCATTAAAATTGATTCATATTCTGAAATCTCAAACTCCAATTTCTAATTTCCTACTTTTTCCATTTTGAGATTTGTTTTCCTGTTAAGGGTTTTCTTAAAAAGCTGTGCTGAACATAATTGAAATCTGCAGGGTTGGAAGCTTTCTGATTTCATGTTTGCAACCCGGCGTGGTTTAGCTGATGCATGTACGAGTGTGTCCAAACAACTTGAGAGTGTTAATGAATCCGTTTCGGCAAGTTTTTCCTATTTGTACTGCCATTTCTTATGCACAAACACATGCTTACATTTGGGTATATTTATTTTTGCATATACGAAATTTAATACGTAGTAGTTTTGATAAACTATAATGAGAAAGAGAAGGAGTTGAGGGACTTATGTCCTTACCTCTTTAATTGTGAGCTATCAAGAACTTGCCTGTGTGGCTATGTCACTACGAGCAAGTTTTCAAAGATCTTTCCTTGACAGAAGTTTGGAGCAACACTCCAGCTTTTCTTATTTGAATGCGATTCTTTACTTCTAGTTTTGAGAGCTTACACAATTTTATGAGCTATTAGATATTTTTATTGTTTACTCCAATGAAGGGGTTATCTTTATGAGTTTATCTATTAGATTTTCTAGTTATCTTCTTTCGCTCCGATTTCATTTGTCAATTCATGTTAGCCGACCCCAAACTCTTTCGGGACTAAGGCTTGAGGGCTGTTTGGTTGTTCTACTCTACTGAAGGGTTCTTATGTTTCCCAGGCAACAAGACATCACATATCTTCCCGCATTGACCGTATTGATTGTAAAGTAGATGAGTGCACAGAAGACACAGCTGCTATACAAGAGGAGGTGGGGTGGGATCTACAAAATTTTACTAGTTTACTTGTTTCATATTAAAGGTTTCTGTCAACTTAAGAACTTTAACCTGTAACACAGGTTTCTGAAATTCTAGGGAAGGTGAAAACGGTTGACAGTAATCTCCAATCAGTTCAGCTTGTTTTCCAAACTCTGGTAAGCAACTTTTTTGTCTTGTTGTAGCTCTCATGTGTTGCGCTGAATTTTATTAAAACATTTCTGTTTGGTGACGGGAATGTGAACTATTGGAAATATTCTGTGGCACAGGAGACCAAAATCAGCAGGATAGAATGGATGCAGGTATATCATGTGAATGGATTGATGAATTTCACTACTATTGGTGCATTTTTTTTGCCTAATAGTAATTGTGCTGTGTTGATGTTTGTAGAATGACACAATTTTTGGCGTGAGAGATTTGGTTACTTATGCAAAGAAGTTGGAGAATGAAAGAGACAAGGAACAGATTGAGGCATGATAATATTTTCTTCATTACTAATTTAAGGATATATATCTACATGTGTGTGTACAGGTTTGGTTCCAATAAAAAGTGGTGTTCCGCTTAAAAGTTGCACTATTTGATTCACACGATTTTCGCTTTGCGTTATTGCTCATACACGGTGCACTATTGCATTCAGGAAGTGCACTTTTTGCAATGAATAAAACCTTTTATTTATGAAATGACAATGCATTGTTATCCAACTTAATGCATTTTTGCATATTTATAGCCATTATATGATCACAAATCTGATACGCCAATACACACACACACATTACTTAGATAGAGGGCAGATCAGGTATAAACAATGCCTATTGTGCAAATACTTGTACGGTTCATCTTTACACTATTTGTATTGCATATTCACGTTCAAAGTATTGCATATTATTCTGCAATGAAATACGATTTAAGTGCTGCATCTAAAAAACTTGGTTTTATTGCCAAAATGTCATCGTGCATCTACAACCTTTAGATCAACCCATCGAATGACCAAGATGAGTTTGTAGTTTGTAAATTAGGAGGTGTTTGTATTTGATCCCTTATCTACATGGATATATACATATAAGAGGAATGCTTTGGTCAGTCCTGACTGACGGGAACCGCCGTCCGTCCAAGCCCGTTTGAGGGCCTTTCGGGTCAAACTTTTTCATAAATTTTTGTGAGCATGTTCTTCATGAAGTTTAGAACATTCACACAAAATTTCAGTTTATAATTCGAATCGGAAAATTAGTTAAATAAAATAGTTAACTGAATTTCCCATGGAATTTTAAGCTGTATTTCATGAAGAACATGCTCGCAAAATTTGATCAAAAAATTGAACCCGAAAGGCCCTTAAACGGGCTTGGCCGGACGGCGGTTCTGGTCAGGCATGCCTGACCGATCTTTACTTATATATATAATACTTTCATTCTGAGTCATAACATGCTTTTATTCTACAGGCATCTTCCCCGAGTTTAACAAGGCCTGCTCTTGAATTGCCAGAGGTGACTCCTTCAACCATGGTGATTTTTGAACCATCTTCATTGATTTTAACAAGTATCAACCTGTTGTGTAAAAATACCTCATCTTTTATAAAAAGGAACTCTTCCGGTGTAAAGTTTTTCCTGTGCAATCAAAATGGGGTTGGGGTGGGCAGTGTTCATACTTATAGGGTATGTTTGTAAGGTTCACGGGCTATTGTTATTTTTAGATTACAATAATTTTACTAATATGACCATTTAATATTTCGACGCGATTTTCACCACGAGTCATCCGGAAACGGTCTCTCCTTGCTTTAGTACAAGGGTAAGGCCGTGTAAATCCGGCCTCCCCTTACCCCACCGTATGTGGGAGCTTTTGCGGCACTAAGGATGTTTTTACTTGGACTGAAATTTGCTGGTCTGGTCTAGTAAACATCTGGTCTTTGTGTATTGTATTTATTACTATCCAAGTCTAGTCTGGTATGGGACTGAAGTCCAAGTAAAACATCCTAAGGTAATGATGATGAATATCTCTTGGTGGAAAATTATCAAGTTAAAGCAGTATTTCCAGAAATGAAAAGTAACCCGTCCCATCCCTTCTCTTAAACCCTCCATCCAATCAGGCCTTAATGAATTCATGACCTTTCAGTGAGTCGCTTCCTCAAGTGGTTCTCTCAAAAAATTGTCTAAACTCTAAATACTTTTAGAGAACTATCTTAAACTTTTGGTTGCTACTTATCTGGAAACCCTTCTCTATATAGAGTCTAGGTACTCATTGCTATTATTGACTTCAATATATTTTTCATTTTCGTCGCAGGCATGTCCCTTGCTTCCTAATGCAAATATTGAACCACCATCTCCATCTGTTTCAAATGGACTCCAGAAGGTTGGTAAATAGGCTTAATCCATTGATCAATTTCAAATTCACTTTCACAATTTATGTCGTCCATTTTTAGACATTAAAAAGTGCAAAAGAAATCTTGAACCCTTTAAATCAATTTTTTTTGCATTAAATCTGTTTCCCGAAATAACTGTTTTAAGTTACAGGAGTCCCTGCTTGCTGTTCTTTCTTCCTCAGGTGTTAAGGTAGGGAGAGATAATACCCAAAAGTTGTCCATTTCTTGTGAGTTCAGTCTTTTAACAATTAGGTTTCTTTTATAGATACATCGTGGATTATTAGATTTGGAAGCAATGAAAACTGGAAGCAGTGGTACTCCTTCTCGGGCTACAAGTGCACCGCCCACACCATTGTGTTTCAACACTCGAAATTCAACTTCTGCCCTGTTTGGGCGAACACTGTCTGCTAGCGCCGCCGACTTTTTGACAAGCCGCAGATCATGCCAAACTTTAAAGTAGGCCTCCAAGTTGGATATAAATCTTTTATTCCATGTGGAGCATTTTTTGTTCATTGAGCTGAATTTTTTAGTGCGCAAATATGGTATTCATTCAAGGCTTAGTTTAGAAGTCCTGTCTAAATATTTTTAGCTACTCATTGGGTAGATATTGCCCTTACCCCACCAAGGTGTGGGAGCGTTTGCAACACTGAGGTAGTGATGATGATGAAGATTGGGTAGATACTAGATTGCACAGAAGTAATGCAACAAATGGTTGAAAATGACCAACTCCAACATCTTAAAGAAGTGCTGGCTCTTCTTTATAATAAATCCCAAAACATGGAATTTGCTTTCATTGAGATTTCGATTTGCAGCGAAAATAGCTTGTTTCGAGCCTGTTTAGTGACACTAGTGGTGGACTCGGGCCGGGCGGCCAGGCCCGGAACCGGCCCGGCCCGGTTACTGTTTGGCCCGGCCCGGTGGGTCCACCGGTTCGGTTCGGTTCGGCCCGGCTGTTGGGCGGTTCGGGCTCGGGCCCTGTTTTTGGTGAACCGGCCCGGCCGGTTCGGGCCGGTTTTTAATTTTTTTTTGAATTTGTTTTGAATTTTTTTTAAATTTTGGGTTGGATTAGGTATTTTGGGCCATTTGAGGTGGTTTGGGGTGGTTTGGGGTTGAGGGGGAGGGGTTGGGGGTTAAATAGAAGAGCCAAAAAAAAAAATTATAACCGGTTAGGCCCGGTTTGGCCCGGAACCGGAACCGCCCACCGGCGGTTCGGGCTCGGGCCCAACTTTCCAGGCCCGAGGCCCGGCCGGGCCCAGGCCCGAACCGGGCCCGAACCGGCCCGAGTCCAGCACTAAGTGACACTGTTTTTCGGCTTATCAGGCTTATCAGCCAACTTTTTAACCAAACGCGTAACTTTTGTTTTGCGCGCTAAAATGTGTAATAATAGGAAAAAGCAAGGTTGAAATTACTTTTCTAGCTGTATTGGATGAAGTTAACTGTATATGATCGTCTTAGCTATTTTTCATATAAAATTTTCTTCAACTTAATTAATAAAATATATTTTAAATATAATTTTTTCATAAATCAGTAGAATCAACCAATACAGCCACTTTAGGTAGAACTTTATAAATTGCGGCATAATAAGTCGATTCCAGTTTTACCAAATAGCATCATTAAACATCTATTCTACTTTTTTTACATCATTGAATGACATTTAAATTTAATTAAATATAGCTTCATTGTACTCATTGGGATATATTTAATTTGAATTTGATTTATTTGGGTCTTATCTAGTAAATGTTTGATCTATGTGTATTTTAAAGTTGGTCTTATCTGGTCGGTGACTGAAATAAATCCAATTAAAAATATCTTTAGAAATTAATTTTTGACTAAGGATTGAGGCAGATTCATGAGGAATTTAGACTTTGTTGGGCTTATAAGATTATACTAGATTTAAGCAATTGTTGGGTGGGTACTTGGGGCGGGAAAATGGAAAAGTGAAAAGTTTACATTAAAAAATTACTGTAAAAGATGGAGAAACCCAAAAGTTTACTTGGCAATAGTTTTCTCTCCCCACTTGCGGAGAATAGGCATGGACCGGGCATTTTGGGAGATAGTTGAGGCCCGGAACCGGCCCGGTTATCCACCGGGTCTGGGCCGGTCCCTATTTTTTTTTTTTTGCTTTTCTAATTAACCCCTGACCCCCCCCTCACCCACACCCCCAAAACCATCCCAAAACACCCAGCCCAACCCGGGAAAATAAAAATTTAAAAAGAAAAAAATAAATAAAAAAGTCCGAACCGGGCCTGGCCGGGCCGGTTTCTAATTTGGGTGACCCGAGCTCGCCCAATGTAACCCCCGGACCAGGCCTACCCGAACCGGTCTCTGGCGGGCCACCGGGCCGGTTCCAAACGGTGCCGGGCCAGGCCAGCGGCCCGGAACCGGTCCATCACTACCGGAGAATATAGAAGATGGAGAAAACGGGCCTTTTGTTTGGATTTTTATCACTTGGCGCAATAGATTTTCATGATCACTGACGCAGTCACACGACTCACACAGGTGGCATATTGCTTTTTATTTCTTCTATTAGCACTTCTAGATTTCCAGTTCATTAGCTTTTTCCATTTCTTTAAATTTCTTGCTTTATTAGAGTTTGTACACTTAAATAATCTTAATAAAGTTCGGTGGTTCAAAAAAAAAAAAAAGCGAGGTGGGCTATAGTTTTAGTGTACATCTATCTGTGCGTATACCGTGCAACCGTCCCACCATGAGCATCATGCTCCCAACTCCCAAAACGATCTAGTTTTGGACAATTTAAAAAAAAATTCGTGTGAACAGTTCACACGATGATGTGACTCACGTGTAAAGATATGTAATTTGTCAAATATTGATTACAAATAGGGGCGGATAATAGTTAGGGCAGGGGTGGGCTTCAACCAGCCCATTTTTTTTGGTTTTAATTAGTATAGGTATAAAATTTAAGTCCAGCTGAATCGTACGAGGAAATCGACCCTGAGCCGGCTGAATGGTGTTCGGATTCCCATCCACTCTACAACCTTCACATGTTAGTCAAAGTCTTGCGTTTTAGTAATATATTACGTACCAATTGAGCTCCAATATACTATCATGTTTATTATCTATCAACTAATTAGTTAACTAAACAATTAATAATAACAAAATAATGCACACGCTTGGCTGATATTATACTTCCCATTCACATATATTATATGTGATGAAAATATATTTCTATTGCATCTTTAAGATTTTGCCATTGATTTCATGTCTATATTTATTGTCCATCTATATCAAAATCTATTTTAAATTTTGTTAAAACCATCTTTACATAATACTTTTTAATTGGATTATATTGTACCATCATTATTAAATTATGAAAGAATAACGTTTTCTATCTATGAATTTAATATGAGATTTAAAAAAAAATTATTAAAATAAAACTTATTTACACAGATATGACAAATCGTTAATTCAATCTAGTGTAATGGTAATTTAAATTTAACACGTGAACATAGTTTATTTTTATTCTACTACTATCTAGTCACTAATCACGTTTTTATAAAGAATCTTATTTTGGCCATAAATATGTAATTATTTTATTTAATATTACATATGTATACACATATGTATGTATGTATGTATGTATGTATGTATGTATGTATGTATGTATGTATGTATGTATGTATGTATGTATGTATGTATGTATGTATGTATGTATGTATGTATGTATGTATGTATGTATGTATGTATGTATGTATGTATGTGTTAATACATTTGAATACTTGAGTAACACAGAGGGTTTAAAGCAATTGTATCGCTGTGTCTTAGTTTTGTTATTTTCAGTTTTGTAAATCAATTTGATTATTGATTGAATTTTGCAGTATATAATAAAATAGTGTTTATTAAATTTATAATGATTAAAGATAGAGTTAAATATTAGGGAATGATTTATTTATTACACAATTGATGATTCAAAAGTGATTTATTTCATGTGTGGACATGCAAGAAAGAATTAAAAAGTTTAATTAAATTTTGAAATACTAAAATCTTTAATTAATAAATTTATAAAATCTTACTAAAACGTTTAAATTTTAGAAGTATATAATTTTTTATGCTAGAGCCTGGATCGAACCGAACATTTTCTAAGCTCGAACTCGGCTTGAATAACTATTCAAACTCAAAATCTAGCATGTTTTCGAGTTCGAAGCTCGTTAAACTCAGATGGTTAAATTACATTCAAAATCACGTTTGAAATCGAGTGGTTCGAAAACATCTTGTGTGTAGTAACAATCCTAAACTAAACCTTTTGTGTGTAGAAACAATTTTTTTACTGCTTAGCCCACCCCACCCCTCATTTCTTGATCCGCCCCCTGATTACAACGTAAACAATGAAAAAAGATAGTCTAATTGCACAATTGCTTTAGGTAAAACGTGAATATGTTTTTTTTAATATCATGACCATAAAAAATAATTTTTTAGAAAAAATCATTTTTTGTTTCAATAGTAGGGGTGGGTTTTTTAACGTAACTCGTGTTTTTACAAATGTAAATCGCTTTGATGGCAAATGTAACTTGGGCATATACAGAACGTAACTTGTTGGAAAATTGAACAATGATTTTTTGTTTGTTTGAGATATTATAAAAATTGATTTCAATGTAAACAATGAAAAATTGATCCTAATAGCTCAATTACTTTTTTTTTTTTATAAATAGTGAATATGTTTTATTTTTAATATTAGGGCAATAGAAATGATATAGCTGAAGTTTTTTCGTGGTGTAACTCGCATACATTAAGATGTAGCTCGCGTATATTAAGATGTAACTCGCGTACACTAAGATGGAACATTTCAAAATCCCTATTTTTTTCACCATCTCAATTTCATCTTCATCAATGGTCTCTGCATCAACACGTTTCTGCATCCTTGGCTATTCCATCAACAAAATCTGAAACACCCATCTACCTGACTTGATTCCCATCTCTATCCCTTTTACCCCCATCCTTGTGGGCTTGTGGCGTTGTCTAGGAGGACTGTTGTGGTGGCGATTCCTGTTGTTGCGGTGGTGACGATCATGGGAGCGTGAATTAGAAGTAGAAGAATGACGGAAATGATGGCGGTCAATGACGGAAAAGAAGGGATGAAACTGTAGAACCTTCGTTGTTTATGGCCACTGCTCTGTACATTTAGTTTGCATCTAATTTTTTAAAATAAGCAAAACGGTACCATATTTGGACCGCATACCATGTGCATGGTATGTCTGTCATACGGTATAATTTGTGTACATCTATCCCCTACTATCAGCGGAAATCATATGAGCGAAAAAAAATCTTTTTTTTAAGAGAAGCGAAAAAAATTCTTAAAATGACTTTTGGGATGTACTGGAGCAAAAATGGTAAGGAGATGTTTTGTGGCATATTAATAACCATCCATTTTTCAATGGAGTTTCATATATAAATAAAGTATAACTTCTGTCTCTTTTTATTTAATGATTTTTTACTTTTTCAATTAAAGATGAAAAATCCTGACCAATTATTTTAATCAATACATTTATATAAATTTAATAATTTTATAAGGTAACATTTTTTACAAATAATATTTTCATATTATGAAAATTATGTGTATTACTGTATTATGCACTTATGTGTATAAATATATATAATCGATAAACCATTGACATAAATAGTCAAATTTGCCTAAATAAGAAGGGGCAGAGGGAGTATGAAATACATCTCCATATCATAAAAGTTGACCAACTTTGATTTGCACGTAGAATAATAAAGTAAAAAATGTGAACTACATCTGAGTAGGAGAGAGATAGTATGAACTACAAATTTG